ATAGAAAATACAATAGGTGGAGTTAATGTTGCAGTAGAAAACTTAACTTAGAATTTCCAAAATTGAGTGCTTGGTTTACAGAGTTTGACACTGTATAAAACAATTCACCTTTGCACAATTTCAGCCTTAAAGGAATTTTTTTCAGAAGTAATAAGCAACTGAAAACAAGAGACTATACCCAAACCATTTAGGACTCCCACTACAGAAAGCACAGGTAGCCAAACATATTGTACAAACCTCCTCATAGCTACCATATTTAAAGGAGTTATTTCAGCGTCAGGCTGTGCATCGCAAGAGTTTAGGCTTTCTTGTGAGATTTCATGTATTCTCTGGAACTGGCTGGGCTAGAAATGCCAAAATGACAGTTGTGTCTATTGCTATGCTGGTACTGCTCCTTCGGGCCCTCTCCAGAATCAGACAGGTATAAAAATGAATGGATGGTCAAAGTCTGAACCTGGGCCTCAATTTGCAAATTTGATTTCTAACTTTATAATACACTGAACCAAAATCCCAGAACTTTGAGGTTTTTGAAATCAACATGGGAATCTGGTGGCTTGGACATATCTCCAATATTTAAATACCTTTGGCAGCTCTTCTAAGGGAAATGGATGACTAACCAGAATGCTAGAAGCAATAGGAAATCATTTATGAAAAGCTAATTTCCCTTGTATTAACTAACCTAAAAACAGACTAAATCAAAGGACTTACATAAAATATCTATGTCCCCAAGCAAGTGAGTCCTGTCAATAGAACTGCATGTTTTGACAGCAATCTGAAAATAGGGCTGGCCAAAAAACAGGAATTCTGTTTTGTTTAAAAAAAAAAAAAAAAAAACTACGTTTTGACATTTATCATTCCACATTGGGATGAAGCTGAGACATTTCAAAAAATGTCAGGTCTCTCTGTCTCACTTTTTCCTGTTGGAGCTGTTCCACTTTATATAAATAATTAAATACTGATTGAAACAGAGAAAGGAAGAGAGACTGGCTCTACAGCCCACTGGTTAGGGCATTCACTTGAGATGTGGGCACACACTCAGCTGAAAGGTGCGAGACCAAGATTCAAGTCCATGGTCTAAATCAGGCAGAGCAGGGACTTGAATGTAGTTTTGCAGCTGAATGCTCTAACCACTGGGCTACTGGCTATTCAGGGATGGGTCTCTCTCTCTTTTTCAAATTCCATCCTGGACTTGAGAAACTTTCCAGTCTGCAAAAAGTTTGCTGTGGACAAATTGGCATTTTCCAACAAAAATGTTTTATCAAAAACGTTCTGTCCATCCTTTACCTGCAACACTGCTGTTGCAGTCAGATGCTAAATTCCAAAGCTGGGTTATTCAGACATATTTACCAAATCAGTTCTTCCCATCCCAGCTAGAGGATGGTCTAGCAATCTAACCACCACAGGATGCATGGATACTCTCCTGAAATTAACATCCTTCATTCCCATCCATTTAAACAGTGGAATGAGAAACTTGGCACACCTTCTTCCCACAGTGACAGACTGTAAGTAATAATCCAGTGAGATAGATAAGAGTTCTGTGAACTGAATATTCTTGAGTTGACATAGTAGTAGAAGGGCCTGTTTCTGAAGCCAAAAAGGTCTCCAATTTGAATGCTGATGACTCTACCGCTTGATGTTGGAATATTAGCTGATTCTTACAAATGGACCCTGACGTTGACCTTGAATGAGTAATTCAGTTGTTACTCTCTGGCAAATGCAATTTCCAGTCTCTGAAACAGTTCATTTTGTCATGAATGAACAGAGTTAGGAAAATTGAATCAAACTGTGATGTGTTACATCTGCTAAATCTGTACATGAATATTTAACAGGCGAGTGCTTATGAAGCATTAAAACACTGAGTAAACGGCAGAGTAAAAAAGGGTAAGTGTTGCCAAACACTGGAATATATATTGATTTTTAAGTGAATGTTTAATGTTTGTGAAAGGTGCTAGATTGAGAGCCCTGGACAATGAAAACCTCTGTTCACAGAAGAGAGACAGCTTTGGTGGTAACGTGGCAAGCTTCCCCCCGCCCTATTCCCTTGACAATGTGCCTCAATGTTCTTTTAGAAGAACCATATCGCTACGGATAAAAGGTAAGTTCTGTTTCTATAACCCAGGCTGGTTCCCCTCATTCATTCCATTCTCCCCATCCACACCAACCCAATCCAAATTCAGCACCTGAAAAGGAGGAGGACTGCAACTCCTTTTTGCCCTTGCCTGAGTGTCCAAGCCCACATTCCAATCCTGATTCAGCCTCTTGTGAGGGGTCAAACTCAGATTGCAATCCCAGTTTAACTCTCAGATTCACATACTGTAGTGCCAAAAGAAACCACTCTGGTCTGCTAGCTCAATTTTAAGATGCTGGCCTGACTCCCCAGCCCAGGAAGGGCTGACATCACAGCCGAAGTCTTTCAAGCCTTTCCTTTAGGGCACAGTTGTATTCTTTCAACACGACCAAAGGAGACTGCAGGGTCCCATAGGCCATTCCCTTCATATCTCTTCCCCCACACCAGAGCCTGCCACATGAGCTAATCTCCTGCAGTGCTCTCTCCGGTTGAGCTCTCCCAGCCCTTTATAGGGACCACCTTTCCCTTTTCCAGCAGGGTCTGATAACTGAACAGGCTGCCTGGCCCCAGGCCCCCTTGCCTTTAAGGGGCAGACCACCCTGTTACCCTGATCTCCTGCATACAGCCAGCTGCAGCCCCCACGCTCAGTCCCAGCAATATGAAATGTGTGTAACAGGCTTTGGCAAATAAAGAGGAAGAAGTAATCACCAATTATTGTTGTTGACCCCACTGCCTGTGAGTGCTCAGGAAGCCCACTCCACGAATCAGCCACACTGCTGTGAAAAACGACCCTGCCCACCATGGCCCTAACTGGTGGAGGAGTGCACCCTCTCCACCCTCACAAACTCTGGCGGGCTGGAAATCCTACCCCTGCTCCCTGCTGCCAGCTCTTCTGAGATTGGAGAAGGGACTGTGCAGGCTGATGAGGGGATAGCAGCTGCTGCTGCAGGCAGGGCCGGCTCCAGGCACTAGCCGACCAAGCGCGTGCTTGGAGTGGCACCTGGAAAGGGGCGGCCAGTCTTAGGGTGGCGAGGGGGGGGGGGTGCTCAGGGTTTTTTGTTGTTGTTTTTGGGTTTGGTTGGGCGGCGCTGGGGTGGGTGGGGTGGGTTGTTTTTGTTTCGGGGGCTGGGTGCGCGGGGGGGGAATTCAGCAGCGGTGCTCTGCGGGGGGGTGGCGGTGCGGCGGGGCGCTCCGCGGGGTGTGTGTGTGTGTGTTCGGCTTGGCAGTGGGGGTGTTTGGCAGTGCGGCACTTGGCGGGGCGGTTCGGCAGCGCGGCGTTCAGCGGGGGGGTTCAGCGGCGCGGTGCACAGGGCCGGCTCCAGGCACCAGCCAACCAAGCTCGTGCTTGGGGCGGCACCTGGTAAGAGGCGGCCAATCTTGGGGTGGGGGGGGGTAGTGCAGCGCTCAGCGGGGGTTCAGCAGCTCGGTGGGGGTGTTCGGCGGTGCGGCGCTCCACAGGGAGGGGTTCGGCAGCATTCCGCGCGGGGGGTGTTCAGCAGTGTGGCGCTCCGTGGGGTTTCGGCTGTTTGGGTGAATTCTTGCCTCCTCCAATGTCGTAGGAGGGTCTCCACCCCAAGACAAGGGGTAGGAGTTTGGAACAGATGACCACAAAGAGGCGCCCCTATACATGGGCTCTTTATAGAAATTTGCACATGCGTCTGACGAAGTGGGGATTCACCCACGAAAGCTTATGCTCCAATACTTCTGTTATTCTATAAGGTGCCAGAGGACATTTGACCCTCAGATATTTCCATAAAAACCCAGAGGATGTTTTCCTTCAACACCTTTTGAAATATAGTGCATCATCACTATGCAGATATAATACAGCCTGTTTCCTGAGATTCCAGGTGGGTGACATATCATCTTTTACTGGACCAACTGCTGTTGGTAAGAGACACAAGCTTTTGAGCTTACATTGAACACTTCTTGCGGTCTGGGATAAGCATAACGGGTAGAACCAGAGTGAGTTAAATAACTTGTCCTATGCTAAGAGCTACAATTCTCATTAGGCAGGCAAGGCACGAGATGCCAGTCTTAATGCATGAGGTGCTAATAGCAACGTGATCACCAGTCTATTAGGAACGGGAGTGGGATCACCAGACTAATTTCAAACAGCCTGTGGACTTCTAGTCACTGCTTTCTTAGTCTGGATTTGAACTAGTGATTTAGATGATAGGATTGGGAGCATTTCACCTCTATCTCCTGAACCACCTAGTCTACAAAATAGTGCAATAATCCAGTCCACTCGATCCTGCAAACATCTATTTCAATGGAAATTGTTCTTGCACGTGCTTAGCTTTACTATTGTAAGTCTTCACAGGACAAGAGCCCAATACTGTGATGATTTGATAGATAAACCTCACAACTCATGTTTATGCCTATGATTTTCACCTCCTGCCTCCGCAATTTTAATATGTAGCTATTATGTGATTTAATCATAAAATCAGAAAACTCTAAAGCCCCATAGAAATCAGAGAAGCCCATGACATTTGAAATTTGTGCTTCTCTCTCATCACCATTTCATACTGATATTTTTAAAGCATTATGAACAATGTTATATATTTAAAACATTCCTCTGCAGTGCTGAAAACACAACTTAGTGCAACAGAAACAGGAAGTTTCAGGAACGGAGTATATGGATGATAAGAATACCCAAATTTATGACATTAATGATTAAAAAGATAACCAAGAGCATAAGGCAACCTGTAATTAATAGGGGTCATGAAGAAAACTTCCCTGTGGACAGTTTCATCTCACATTTGCCTACTGCAGGGTTTTGTGTGCCTTCCTCTGAAGTATCTAGTATTTCCCCACTGTTAGACATCGTACCGAGCTAGGCATACAAGGAAAAATATTTTATGGCAATTCTTTAAAGTAGTGTTATAAACCAGCTGTGAGAACTTAGGTCATGTGACTTAGCTATAAACTTTACCTTGGTCTTCTGGACAGACATAGAGGCACTTATCTTCTCTGAGGTCCTGGCCTCAGGTCTGCGGTTTGGAGGCTTCACTGAAGTTTCTTTTGCTTCCCTGCTGTCTGTTTTGGGCTGTGGAAAATAAATCATTGATCTACCATTAGGGTATAAAACCAGAATACGTTTCCCATTAGGAGCACCCAATGGTGTGACTAGCATGAACATAATTTGTCATTGCATGGGAAATCCCAAGTTTTGGGGAGTGGCCTTGAAGACAAAAAGGGCTGATAGCACATATTGCATACGACACTCAGTCTATGGATGAGGACATAAGCTCTTTGGGGCCAGACTCATCTATTTGTTTTGTGTTCGTACAGTGCTTAGCACAATGGGCCCCTGGCGCATGATTGCAGCTCCTCAGTGCTACTACACTACAAATAACTCCACTCTTAAAACACCCTCTAATAGTTATGTGGCACTGCATCTCCCTACCAGCTGCTAGGAAAGGGCAGTATTTGTGTGGAGCATCTATGTGGGTGAATGCTTGAGGACCTCCATCTCATCAGAATTGTTAGCTATGGTCAACACGGGGCAGGAGATACCCTTTGTCACATGCAACATTAAACATTGAGATATCAAGCACTCATAAAATCATGAAATCCCAGGAGTTACAGTGTGCTGGTAGAAAGCATA